CAAGGTTTGATTGAAACAGAATTAATAAATAGTTTACTTAAAACTGTGAAAGCTAATGTTCTTAAAAATATTTGAACAAAATGATTTTTAATTACGTTGCAAGTGTTAATTAGATACAATTCGATTTGATGTAACCAAACCAAATTGATCAAATGTTCGTCTTATGTTTTTTTTTTTATTTTGTTATAAAGGTTCGGCAACTTAGAAAGCAGTACACCTGGTGGTAAGCGATGATCACCACTAATCACTTTAGCGATCCTGAACCTGACCCGCATGTGCAACGAAAACTACTTAATTCTATAGTGTCATTATCATCGTCAGCAGAAAAAAATATTATTTATTAATTTTCTAGTTTGCATGTTTTGTTTTTAATCATTTCAATTTTATTTAATATTCACCTCTGAGCGACAATTTTCTGCTACAATTACCTCTTTGTGCATACCATAATAAATTGTGGCACGCTTTGATGGTCTTGAAACGTTGGTTATGACTGCATTTAATTTGCACAGAACTGCATACACTTATGTCCCAAATAAGCGCAGGCACGTTCGCGTAATAGATTTAAGAATAGCAAGCGCGTTCTTCCCGTTTGTCCAGTTTGATTACTGATCATTTTGTATTGCTGTGAGTAATTGTTACTATACATAGCTTTCTGTATATTTTTACGATTAGCAAACGATACATAATTCTTCTCTTAGCACAATCGAGTCCAACACAACTAAACTGCAATTAAATAAAATTGAAAAACTGTCGGAATAATACCGCAAACCGCGTTTAAAATCGTGCAAAAAAAAACGTGCAGAACCATACCGTGTTAACGTAGCGTAGGATAATCTCTTCATTATCCAAATCAACGTTGCAAATATGCACTAGATTTTTTATTCCGCTGAATTAACTCGAAGTGTTGCTGATCTTAGAACTGAGCGGCATTAATCACTTTGTCGCAATAATATATTTTTTTTTATGTGAGAAAGTGGCAAACGAGCTGACGGTTCACCTGATATTAAGTGATAACGCCCATGAACAGTTGCAACAACCGTAGAGTTGCAAATACGTTACCAGACGAAACGCAGAGGTCGTGGTACTTACCCGGACGGACCTGCCCATTTGTGCAACAGTGAACACTGTTGCGTGGCCCTACCACCGTAGAATAAGTACCGTAGAATAAGTACCGTAGAATAAATATAGTTCAGGGCAATTTTTTTATTCAGCTTTGTTTGAGGGCCCCATCTATTAAGCGTCTCAAATGATTAAATTTGTTGCGATCTGTGTTGTTAATCAAAAAAAGATATTTTTATAATTAAAATGTAAATAACATTAATCATTTATCAAAATTTTTTGACCAATTGTGACCATTATCTGTCCAATTGTCAGTGATTGCATTTATGACCGTTTAGTGTCAAATTCAGACCACTTTTTAAGGGTTAAAATTTCATCATTTGTGCCGCTCAATAATTGAACCTTGTTTGAGACTCTTATGAGCAAAAATAAACCAACTTAATAATCAAAACTAACATTCAGACATTTAGAGCGCCGCGAGTCGACGTGAGACTGCGGTTATATTGTTCATGTTACGAGTTTCGCAAAGCGTTCAACACAGGTGCTATCTTCAATTTAAATTATTCGCGAATCTCTCCGGAGGGTTGTTCGTACGAACTAAACCATTTCAGCTACAGGTCTTTCAATTTTGCAACGTCTAAAACGCAGAATTGATTGTTTATTCACTCTTAGCACGAGTTCTCTTTAGTTGTAGTATTATTCTCTCGAAGTTGTTGACGAGTACGTTTACCTGGGACTCTTAATTAGTCAAGTTAGGTAAGCAATTTCGACGCAGAGGTCAATCGGCCAGTCCAACTTGGATGAGGAGTTTTCGGGAAACTTCGACATATTCTCCATCTGATATCCATCTATCTTTGAAGACTAAACGCTTCAATCAATGTGTGTTGCCAATCAACGTGATGATCTACGGAACTGTATGTGGAAGGTCAAAGTCGCTCATTAAGCTATGGAGCGGTCCACGCTCAGTATTTCTCTGCTTAATAGAGTACGCAATGAAGATATCCGCAGTAGAAGAAAGGTAAGTTCAGTTGCTGTGAAGGACAATATTAAATAACACCAAGCATTGCCAAAATGCAATAAACAATGTAGATCAGATGTCGTGATTTCGCCATTTAGCTTAGTGGCTAAAGCGTCTAGACGCGTAATCCGGAAGCCACAGTTTAGGATTCTGGAAGCACCAAAAAAATTTTTTTTTAATTTTGTCTACACATTTTTAAGTTTCAACGTAAGTATAAAGTGCATTCCACTCCCACTTCAGCCTTTTGGGATAGACAGAGAAACCTTATTAGGTACATGTTTTATTCGTCCATTTATTCCGTAACACCTTACACAAGGCAGAAACGTCTAATATGGAGTACGTAAGAGATGCTTAATACATACAAAATAATAGAATTAAGAAAAGTTCACACACTTATAAATTTTGGAATCGCTAAAACAGACCGTAAGTTCGATATTACAGTTCGATATTTCATAAATTACAGCCACTACAATATACATATATTTATCCTATGAATTTATATAGAACGCAGTTAAATACACAATGAATGAAAATTGTAATCGTGGCAAAATTAGTTGATGAATTTTTGCGCCTTCAATTTATTTTTGTACAAAGGGCTCTGCGAAAAAGGTAAGCCTGATACATTACTTTACTTTTCGCGTTGAACGTTCAAGAACGAATCAAAAATATAAAACAATAGAAATATTACAATATAAACAAAAATTGATATTAATATTACAACACATTTCTTTCTGGAGATGCCTTAATATTTTTATTCTAAAAATAAAGAATGATAGTTACAATAAATTTTCATCGAACTTTCAAAGTCCATAAAACTCAACAAGTATCAAACCTTTCACCGTACACTGAGACTAAATGAAAGATAGTGATTCTTACGGAAGTATTCAAAGAAGAAGAATTCCGCACAAGCCTGCACAATTTTACAACAGCAAGGACTGCTTGGTGATGTTGCAGGTGAGAGGTTGTCCAATAATAGAATGAAAAAAACACTCCGGGACTGCCGCGGTAAAGCTATTGCATAGCATTTTTATCAACTTATGCAATTATAATTATATATTAATTTTATATTCATGCAGTATTTTTTTTCGTGGTGACCGATAAGAAAACAAACATTTTTCTTTTATTCAATAAATGAGAAGTTAATATCGTTTAAATTTTTTATTCAGAAATTTTTATCATTGAAACTATAGGTTTATGGTAACTGAAATAAGAAATATAAGTTTGAGACTTGATATCCTCTAGATGTCATATCATCCTATGATAATATAATATTATAATATCATACTATAATATCCATCCGTGCGAGCTTCGTACGGTCGTACCATATACATACAGGTTAAGCGAACGCTCGGCCGAGCTACATGGTAGGTGAAGTGGGGGGTGTTAGGTTTTATTTTCGTTACGGAATTTCTTGATTCGGTCGCCGCGCTCAAAGCCCGCGATAAAAGCTATGCAATAGCTTAAAAGGCCTAACGGAGGGACAACATTTATTTGACTCGTACCAACTTCGACTGTCAAAATTATTCAGAACGTTACTAAATTAACTTAACTAAATAATACTTAACTAAATCACCAAGTATTAAGGAAAATGTAACAGCATAAAAGGCGTGATATATTCATAAAGAAAAGTAAATACATAAAGAAATATTGAAGTTACTTTTCCAAACATATTTCATTCCATATTATCCAATTAATTGGAATCATATAATGAGTTAATACATGATTAATTGAACAAATGTTAATAAAACACTGAGTTTTTCTATAGCATTATTATGCTCTTAGGTAAGCCCTTGTAACAACTACAAAGCAGTTAGCTTACAAAGTAATCCTTCGTCTGCCATCTGTTGTTTGTGCAGCGATCCTAGAGTTTCGTCACTTTACGACGTTTTGTATTATGAATTTTTTTCTTAGAAAATTATCTGCAGTAAAGAAAATTAACAATAAGGCTTAAACAAAACAAGGCGCGGCTTCAAAGAATAATTTAAATTAGCGATGAAAATGTAAAAAATAAAGTATAAGTATGTAAGTATATAAGTATATCTATATGTTTATTTATTTATTTATTTTATCTATAAAGCCAACCAGAAAAGAAAACAAATGAATATCCCCTCAAGTATAAAAAAAAATCACATTATACCTGGTCGCGCCAATAATGGTAGGTTTCTTCGATAGAATTTAGTGGACTGTATTGGTACATACAATAAGCAGAGCTAGGAAGGTGGGCGAGATGCACGTACTAACCTTGCGACGGCAGCCAAGCGCTCGCGCTCCCTGGGATGCAGGCAACACCGGCGGGCACGCCACGTAGTTCGGTACACGCACTTTGCAGTGTTCAATAAGTTCCTGGATAGCCACACTCCACACTCTCGACTTATCGTAATCGCGGAAGGGCGCGACACATCAATAGGGAGCGTTACTAGGACTCAGTGTCCGGGATAATTAAAATATAAAAGTATGCGATGGGACCGGCATAATCGCAGCCCGTATGGGTAAACGCCTTAACGACTTGGCATGTACGACTTTGAGGTAGATCAGCCATCAATGGGTAGGTCGGACGCGGTCTAAGCCGAAAACATATATTGCACTTGTGGACTCTTTGCCTCACAGTGCTGCGTGCGGATAGGATCCAGAATTTTTGACGAAGTAGCGACATCAGCAATTCAGGCCCGGCATGTAAATGTGTTAATATGATAATAATCAATGATCATGTTCACTACATGATCACTGCGCGGTAATATAGCGGGATACTTATGACTGTAATCTAATACGGAATTGGAAAGACGACCTACACGGATCAAACCGTTGTCTATGAATGGTCTTAAACGATTAAAAGCGGGTGAGCAAGGTTTACAATTTTTAATATTTATATATTCTGAATTCTGGAGAATTAAAATCTCAGCGAAACTGAGATCATCAGCAGTCACTGCAGTAGTGCTGCGGCGGGGCAGTAACTTGGCGAACCTACATACGTAAACAATTATACGTAGAAGTTTACTCCAAGAAGAGATGCGGAGAGCGAGTTCATATAATTTACATTTATCAACAGATGTGCACGCAATGTGCGACAATATCCTTTTCTCAGGTACGTCTGTAATAATCTCTTCTTCTAATGTTCGAAGTGGCCACTGAGACGGATCTAACGCAGTCCACTGAGGCCCATGGAGCCACAGAGGGTGCGAAATTAACTTATGTGGTGTAATACCACGCGAGAGGATGTCAGCGGGATTCTCGGTGCCAGCGACATGGTAGAAGCTATCAGCGGGAATATTGTCTGTAATTTGAACCACGCGATTTGCAACAAATGTTTGCCACTTGTGAGGCGAACTTCTTATCCAGTACAGAGCAACCTTTGAATCTAAGAAGGCGTACACTGATATTGGGTAACCAAGAGAGTAGTTATCGAGGACTCTGCGAAGCAATTTTGACAATTAAACTGCTCCACAAAGTTCGAGGCGAGCGATGGATAGTGGCTTTGTTGGCGCAACTTTAGTCTTATCGCAGACCAACCGAACGGTATTACCATTGATCCCATTTACGTGTAGGTATACAACGGCACCGTATGCGTGTTCACTGGCATCGGAAAAACCCATGAGGGTGACAATACAATTTTTAGTGACACCAACATGTCGTGGGATACGTAAATTATTAAGATCTGGTAATTCAGCACAAAACTGCCTCCACATCTTAATGATGGGCGGCGGCGGTACATCATCCCAGTTTAAGTTAAGTTGCCAAAGCTGTTTTATTAATAACTTAGCGTACACGACTGTGGGAGCAACGAAACCCATTATGTCCCACAAGCGGGCGACAGTAGATAAGATGGAGCGCTTAGTGCACGTCACATCATCGGGAATAGATATTTTAAAATAAAATTCGTCACTATCGGTAGACCAATGCAAGCCTAATATCTTATGCTGCATTGATTTATCGAACCCCACTTCCTTTGTAATTTTATGAGAAGCAGGGAGGTTATCTAAAACGGATTGATAGTTGCTATTCCATTTTATAAGATCCCATTGTGCACCCTTGAATAAGTTAATGAGCTGCTGAGAGGCTTCACTGGCTTCGGACTCACTAGGCAAGGAGAAAGCGACATCATCCATGTATAGTGAGGTAGATGTGATACGACTCGCTAGTGGATACATCGCGCCGTCGTCATCGATAAGCTGTCTCACCGTGCGCAGTGCATGGTAAGGACTAGATGTTAAACCGAAGCATACGCGATTAACTGGTACAGCACAAGTGGATCATGTGGATTGAAGCGGTATAGAAAGCATTGATAACGACGATCAGAATCACGAATAACGATCTGCAAGAATTGGTGGCGACAGTCGGCTGTCATAGCCACTGGATGTAGACGGAAATTTAAAATAATGTCGAATAAATCCCCTTGCAAATTCTGCCCCGAGTGCAAGGCGTCGTTTAGCAATCGACCAGTGCTAGTCTTACTGCTAGCATCTAGGACAATGCGCAGACGAGTTGACTTCTTGTCTTCACGTAAGACTCCGTGATGCGGGATAACATAGAATGGAGCGATTTCACGAGAGGCATATAGCGGTGCGGGTGAAATATAATCCTTGGCTAAATATTCCTTTAAGACGTCATCATATGCCAACCTTAATGTGGGTGAAGCTTCTAACTTTCTTTCTAAACACATGAAGCGTCGTCAAGCAGTCTCGTAAGAATCTCCAAGAGAATAAACGTCGTCTTTAAATGGCAGGCCGACAATGTATCTACCACTAACAGGACCGCGTGATGTCGTCGAATCATAAAACTCTTCACATTCAATGTCAGAAGGACACTGAATGGGCAGCGCGGAAGGAGGCTGTTCAAGCTCCCAAAAACGTTGAACTAATTCATCAATATTAGGAGACTTGAACTATACAACAAGTTAATGACTTACTCATTTGTAGTGTCGGTACGGAACCCATAATGACGTAACCAAGCACCGTGCGTATTGCTGCGGACCCAGAGGAATCATACCCAGAGGACACAGCAAGTGTGGGAAAAGATGCACTTATCAATGCATCCATTTTATTAGGCACGCCGTAATATTCATCGGCGAGCTGTAAGGCATGAAACTGTTTAAGCACAGATGAGTCTACTAAAGCGGTGGGCATTTCGTCGGTGATTTGATCAACCACCAGCGGTGAAATATGATAATTAATATTTTGGTCAAAGCGGGAGAATATATTAATATTAATAGATTTTGTTTTAACGATTTTTTCTACTCCGCCGAATCCCTTTATTGTAGTACATTCGGCGTCATGAACCTGAATTCCTAAGCGGTGACAACATTCTTTAGTAATAAAATGACTGAGACGCTGAGTCTAATAACACACGAATTATTTGTTTATCTCCCCGAGCGTCGTATGTAAGGACTTGAGCGGTTGAGAGTAATACGGTACTCCACGAATCGTTCGCACGCGCAGAAGGCGACGATTGTTGCGAAACGTTCGCAAACGAAGTACACAGAGCGACTTCCGAACGCGCACCCGAGTTGAGAGGTGGCGATTTAACGCGCGCGGTATGAGCGGGCGCCGCAGAATTAAATACAGTTTGCTGAGGCGACAGAGCGTGCGTCGGCGCAGAGGATGAACTATCGCTTCCACGCTGGAAGTGTAACAATGAGTGATGTTTACGCTTACAAACTCGACAGGTATAATTTGATGAGCAGCCTACTTCGATGGCTTAAACTGAGACAGTTAACACATGCACTGTTACTCTTCACGCAAGTAAATCGTTCCTAAGGTGTCATTTTATTAAACTGCGGACACTTAAATAAGTGTTGATGCACAATGTTATTACACAAACATTTGTTAGAACAACTAGTCGTCGTACTAACGTAAGTCTGATACTTCGGCGACGAAGTATTGTTACAGCGGCGGTTATTATTATTGTTTCGACGAATATTAGTTATACTATTTGAATTTATACAAGTGTCGGTTCGTTGTAGAACTTGAGCGCGGGTCTTTATAAAATTAACTAAGTCATCAAATGTAGGAATCGATGAGCTATGATTTAATTCGAAAGTGCGAATAGTATCCGAATCGAGCTTCTTAAGGGCAATATGAAGAACGATCAAATCCGCTAGATTGTCTAACTTTAAGTTTTGCAAAGCGCGCACTGCACTAATAAAGTTGTCAGTAAATAAATCAAAATTATTAGCGGAGGCCGAAAGCAATGGTTTGAATTCGAACATCTGATTTATATAAGCGGAGGCTAGCATACGTTTATCTTCGTATTTATCGATAAGCGCTTGCAATAAAATTTTATAATTTTCAGTGCATGGAGTTATGCCTGACATACAGAGAGAGCCTTGCCCGTCAGCTTACCTAGTAAATAATATAACTTATCAGCGTCGGTGAGCGACGGATTATCGTGAACAGTCGACTTGAAGCTGGTATAAAACAAAGGCCATGAGCGAATATCACCCGAAAGTGTCATTAGTTCGATAGGCGGAAGTGCAATGCTAGTTTTAGATAAAACATTATTATTATTCTGTAAATTGCTAGTTTGGGAATATTGTAAACGAAGTCGACTTATTCTTCCGTAAAGCGACTCAAACGTAATGAGACTATTATAATCGGGCTTAGCGATAGGATTTATTTTTAATAAATGAGTGTTATAACTATCTTTGGGGGTAAGGGGTATACGGTACCAACATCTTAACCGGCCCAACTGTCAACCTCACCTGCTCGCGCTAGTAGTTCGTAAGAATAGCTAGCGGCGACGGCTAGAAATAGTCGTCGCGGTGCCCCCTGCTAGACAACGGACGAGGCTCTGGCGACCGAGTATCTGGCGGTATAACCAGACAACACTTATACATGGGCTTAAATTACCTGTTGTGTGGATAAAAACATCTCATCCTAGGGGTTTTCCTGCTTTTTACATCTAGTAGGTTTTTGTGCGTCAGATGGCAATCGGCACTAGACTAATAAACCCAACATTTGCCACCCCTTTAAGACCAGCATGAATAGTCAAGTTTCAAGAGAGAGTGCTCCGGCTAGGGCGTCGCCGCAAAACGACGCGCAGACATATCGCCCTACATCTGCGACAAATGTGCGAGGGCTACCGAGTCAAGGACGAGCTCGGTTAAAGACGCTAGTCCCGGATGAAAACTTGAAAGTCCGCTTCGCTACTTTAAATGTAGGTTCATTAACCGGAAAGACTAGAGAACTTGCAGAGCTATTCCACAGGAGAATGGTCGATTTTGCTTGCCTGCAAGAGACAAAATGGCGAGGTTCCAAATCACGTAACATTGGCGAGGGGTACAAAATGATGTACACTGGATCTACTGAAGGGCGAACTGGTGTCGCAATTGTAGTGAGTGAAGAACATCTAGATAACATCATCGAGGTAAACCGGATAAATGATAGAATTATGTACGTGAAAGTTTTGATAGAAGGAGAAATAGTTAACATCCTATCCGCATATGCACCTCAATTCGGATGCCGGGACAGTGAGAAGGAGGCATTCTGGTGCACATTAGATGATGTACTCCAGCAAATACCAGGGGGAGAGACCAGAGTAATTGGTGGGGATCTCAATGGCCATGTGGGTGCGACCTGTAACAGGTTCGATAGAGTGCATGGAGGTTGTGGTTTTGGTCAATTGAATGAACCTGGAAAAACTATCCTATCTACTGCCATTGCTCACGACCTTGCGATTGCAAATACGGTCTTTAAAAAGAAAACGGAACATCTGATTACGTATAAAAGCGGCAACCACAGTACCCAAATAGACTACATTCTCACCAACAGGAGCAACATCGGGAGAATTAAAAATTGCAAAGTGATACCTGGTGAAAGCGTTACCTCGCAACATCGTTTGGTAGTCATGGACATGGTCTTCCGCAAAAAAATTGCTGCAAAACCAGAAAAAGTACCTGAGATCACAAGGTGGTGGTTACTTAAAGGTAAAAAGGTAGTAGAATTTAGAAAAGAACTTGAAGATTTGACTATTAATACGGAGGAGGACGTCAATGTGGAATGGCAAAGGCTTTACTCGCAAATAACGAAAGTAGCTATTTATAAACTAGCAAAGGCGAGAAACAAGGCAACCAACGATTGCGTTAAGTCGAGAATACTTAAGGGAAGAAATGGAACTGTGTTGTACAAAGATAAAGACATTCTGGCAGCATGGCATGAATATTATGAACATCTTTTAAACTCAGCAGCTACAACTGTTGACCTTCCTGATGTGTATAAAAATATGGGACTTATATACCCAATACAACCACAGGAAGTTAAAACTGCCCTCAAAAAGATGTCGAACAAAAAAGCAACAGGCCCTGACGGTATTCCGATTGAAGCATGGAAGTGCCTCGAGGAAAAGGGAATTTACTTCCTGACACATCTCTTTCGTATGGTATTTGAGTCTTCAAGGATACCGGATGCATGGAGGCTCAGTACAATTGTTCCACTTTATAAAGGCAAAGGCAGCAGATACGAATGCAACAATTATCGTGGGATAAAGTTAATGTGCAAAAATTAAATACATTCAAACTATATGAAAGAGTAATAGATTCCCGGCTGAGATCTGAAAGCACATTATCTACCAACCAATATGGCTTTGTTCCTGGCCTATCCACGATTGACCCGATGTTTGCTTTAAACATGATTGTGCAGGAGTATAGAGCAAAACAGCAGCCATTAGACATCGCCTTTCTTGATATGGAAAAGGCATTCGATCGCGTACCTAGGCAGACTATTTGGTGGAGTCTTCGAAAGAAAAACATTCAGACATCCGAGGTACCCGGAGACGAGGAAGACCAAAAATAAGATGGACAGAGGTAGTGAGAAAAGATCTTAACGCCTGCAATGTGACTCATGACGATGCGATGGATAGGGCGAAGTGGAAGCGAATGACAGGAAAGGCAGACCCCACTACCGTGTGGGAATAATAAATGCACGGGAGAGAGAGAGAGAGAGTGTTATAACTATCTAAAGTCGGTTTAAATTCAATACGTAATGCATTTAGAACTTTTGTCAAGAAAACGTTCCAACATTAAAGTATTTGTATCAATATTCGTAGACATGTCATATATTTATTTGAAATATGGCATCTAAACGCGATGCCATATTTCAAATATGGCATCGCGTTTATGTGCTAACAATAAAACTAACGCGGCGTCAGGTGTACTCTCAATATCCGAGGAATCACTCTTATTCGATGCAAGTTGTTTCTTTGGCGGCATTATAGCTAAAGTTATGCTACTAAATAAAGTTGTGTGCATGAAAAGTGCACGACTTCGCTATGCGGTCGGATAATACGCAGTTAGAAATATTTGTTAATATTAACCAATAGCAATGTAATATTAGTATGAAACTTATGGAATATTTAAATACGAATATAAGGAATATATATGTATGTAAATAAATCCAAGAATAAACTGTATGGTCTATAAATTATAAAATATATAAGTAAGCGGAATTGTTCAATAAGTTAGATGACGCAATGTCATTCAATAAGAAAGGTTTTATAATTAAGATAATTGGTTAGTAAATATATAAATGTTATACTGATATCAATTCTTAGGGCCTATCTTAAGTATCCTAATAAGGGCGGAAGTTTTGCGGCTCGATGGGACAATAAAATGATCCGGCTCGAAGGACCACTAAAATGATGGTCGCGCCAATAATGGTAGGTTTCTTCGATGGAATTTAGTGGACTGTATTGGTACTGTATGTATAAGCAGAGCTAGGAAGGTGGGCGAGATGCACGTACTAACCTTGCGACGGCAGCCAAGCGCTCGCGCTCCCTGGGATGCAGCCAACACCGGCGGGCACGCCACATAGTTAGGTACACGCACTTTGCAGTGTTCAATAAGTTCCTGGATAGCCACACTCCACACTCTCGACTTATCGTAATCGCGGAAGGGCGCGACACATCAGTAGGGAGCGTTACTAGGACTCAATGTTCGGGATAATTAAAATATAACGAGGAGCGCAATGTCACTCGTACGGTTGCGGGATAACGACTTTTTAAACTATTGCCGCTGCGCGGCGCTGGCGACGCCTTAGGCGGCAGTACGTGCAATAGGACGAATAAGGTAAGGGAAGGGTAATGGATATATGTACCATATACTTATTTAATTATATCTTAATTGGCGTAACCAATACCTATCAGTCTATAGTTCGTTTATGTACGAGTACTGTGGCCATATTTGGACGGATGCTGCCAACTGCCATCTTGATGCTTTGAACTCAACGGAGAGGCGTGCAAAGGGATGTTATTGGTTGTCGTTGTAAGGTTATTGGTGACCCTTATTTGGTTGGAACCATGATGTATGATGTATGATGCAATTTCAGATGCAAAGGTTTAAAGGGTTTCCTTTAGGCAGTTGAGAAAATTTACTGTTTGCGAAACCATGTATTTAATGTACTATGTCTATAATGGAGATCTGAGGTAACAAGGTAGACACACACATTACGCGCTGCCGAAATAAATCGTATAACATTAGGAAAGTTATTTCTCTTTCGGATTTATGACTCATGGTATCAATATTAACGTAACCGTAAGTAATTTATTCGCAGCGGCGATAAGCTTTTACGTAACTAATCCTACCGCTGTGATTTACCGTTTAGATTTATGGTGAATTGTGTTGTTTTTACGCATTTTCATGGAATTTCTAAACATTCTTAAATCTCCTTTGTCCTGCCCTTATCCTAACCTTGTGGAGTCGGCACAAAATGCGAATCACGTTATTAATGGTATTGGCAAGATCTTACAAACCAGTCGCCTGCCCTTTGTGGACTCTCGTTGGAAATTTTAACCCAATTTCGGAAAAATTATATTCGGGTAACCTAAGACTTGTCGCTCGTAGGAAACGACGCAAAGACGCTACGCCGAAAGTTTTATTTATTTATTTTACCATAATTTATTTTGTTCAACACACGCAATACGAGCTGACAGTATCTCGAAGGCTTGCTATATTGGGTGGATTTAATGTTATAACCTATAATGTTATAACCTAGACTTATTGTCGCGGCTGGTGACAAGATGGCTGGTTCTTTTCTCACTCAAAGGTGGAGCATAACTATTCAGCGAAGAAATACAGCTACCGTTCTTCGGCACTATGCCGATCAAGTTAAAATTAATGTTGTAAATATTGGATTCAATACAATATTGAAAGTGTATAGTGAAAATTGTATGAATGCTATAAATGTGGATCAGGCCGGTAAATACTCAAATTCTTAGCTGGTTGGGATTCTTTACAACTAAAAGTCCTTTCCACACCAAGGTGAATAGTTCCATGCAATTTTTGTATTGTAATTTATGCTTATCGCATTGCACCCAATGCTACGTCATTCCATCCTGTTAATCGGTATTCTAGTCACGCTTAGTAATATCACGCAAATTTTGATGGTCTTGAAATCATTTGCATTCGCAGTACGGATTTAATTATTTCGAATCTGCTATCATTTACCGCCAGGTCACATTTATCGGTTTATTCACATCTGTCGGCACCATGTTTAATTTAAAATGTCGTATGTCAAAACTTTTAACTTAAACACGAACTCGAACTCATTTACAATTCCATAGAGCAAGATCCCAAGGCCACCAGACCTCACCTGTTTTCTGACGACCGTAATGTATACAATTGAATAGTGTTAGTGTGTACAACGATCGCATGCGTATCTGCTAGCTTGGTCAGACAGCCAATTTCCCGGTATCAGGTAATCAAGATACATAAAAACATTATTTACCTCGGGAACATTCTCCAAGCTGATTATTTAAAATATTTAAATTCACGTAAATTCTAACGCTCCATTTTAATGTGCAAATGTCTGAACTGAGCTTTATACAAAGAGATAAACTCCCGATGTGAAATATAGCAGCACCCTTACAAACATATATAACTTCCTTTCTTCTACCTTGAACTTAATAAGCCTTTGGATGGCTTAAGTTCTGTGAATGAAGAAAGTAAACTGAACATAAACAACTACATACAAAACAAAAACTAAACATCTATATAAGTTATCTGAATACGATACACTATAATTTGTAAAATATGTGTGAAAATAGAGCGATAACAAATGTTAACTTTTGACACCATTACCTAAGTTAATATATTTATGCAGCTTAATTATCACAGATTATTGCATAAAAAATTATCACTGTGCAAACACACGCACACACATGTAACGAAAACATTCGTACCGAGACCGAATATATATTATAGACACTATTCGATGACTCCGTGGCGCAGTTGCCAAGGTATTGGCTTCGGCGTACGGGGTCGTGGGTTCGATTCCCACACGGGACAACTATTTTTGTGACCTACTGATAGTTGTTTCGCATCTGGGTGTTGATCCACGTGAAATTTATGTTTGTAAAACGTTCTTATAACACAGGATAATGTTATCCTTAAGTAAGAGCAAAGTTTTAAAATAAATCTTGTTCATCAGATTTGATCGCCACACTCAAGCGGTCTGTCAATTATTAATTAGAAACATTGATTATTAATTAATGATTTTGACACTGAAGTACGATTAGCAAATCTCATAGTCAATTACAACATTTACAACATTTACACGTATTCCGCTCCTTGTGGATGTTGATTTCGTAGCTATAAATAAACACCTCTATCATTGAATCTCATCCAATCAAGACCTTCAAATCAAAGTGATCAGTTCGAATAAAAACAAACAGACACTAAAAAAAATTAAAAGACATGTGTAATCGTTTTACTGCCGGCTTCATTACTCTATCTACAACTAGAGATAGAAATTTAACATTAGCTCCATAATAATTTTTAAATGTTACTGTAGTCGTAAATTTCATTATTTTCAAACTGATTATTTTTTTTTTTAATTTCATATCAAAATAAGGTTCTTCGTATGAAGCATACCACTTGTAATTCAATTAACACGTAGCCACAAAACGTAACAATAGCAAAACTAATACCAACTAGTTGAAAGTAGAAATGTCTCACCTTAGTTGAAAGACAAATAGAAATAAGCATTGTCTTTAATGCAATGTGTTTCTTAAGCTATGTTTGCGTTACGGGTGTGTGGCCATTAAACTTAGTATTAATTTATTTTGTTTATTAAAAAAAATATTGTTTATAACCCAACTTACCGCTAAACAAAAAACTTAAACTTCCAGTCCACCCTGAAAGTAGAGAAAATTTGACGTAGGTGCTAATCAAAAGTCGCGAAATAAATTGAAAAATAAAATAAAAGAAAACAAAAAAGCGGTACAGATTTAACCAGTGGTTAAATCGGTACTGGTATTGGTAGGGATACGCAGCAGCCTCGGCTGTTGCACGGAAGGGCAGGCTATGCCGGATAAGTACCACGACCTCACAGAAGAGCGGCGTAAAGTGGAAGTATAATACTTTCGCGTTTCGTCTGGTGAGTCAGGTAGCCGGAGCCCAATTTTCAAAAGGTTGTCAACGCATCTGCAACCCTCGGGTGCAGCGGATACCCATGGGTGGCGGTATTCACTTAACATTAGATGAACCGTTTGCTCGCTTGGCAACTTCTAAAGCATAGGTACATTTTATAGAAATATACTTTACACAAATGTGAATACTATACACAATAAACTATTCTAATTTCCAATACCTATTAGTATAGTTTATATCTTTGTAGCTTTCAAACACTATTGATATAAAGCGTTAATTTTATACTTCTATGTAAATAAAATGTGAGAGGCCTACCGTTGTAAGCTCCTCCTGCAATAACTACCAGATATATTTCAACTATTTCTTCAAAGTTTTATTTTTTTACACACTTGGTGTATAGTTAAGTGAAAAGTTTCAAGAGTATTAACAATGATGTGTGTTTTTTGCCGTGCAGAAATGAGGCAAACGGTGTAGTTGTTAATATAATAATCAACTATTGTCTTATTGATGCCTGAATATGATGTCGAAGCATAAAAATCTGATTTATTCATCCAAAGAAAAATTATACGGTAGTAAGTAGATAGATATAAATAAGATAAAGTAGATAGATAGAATAAAGTTCAACGGACAGTGAGTATAAAAAGTGATAGATAGAGAGCAGTGTGATAAAGAAGACTAAAAGAGAGAAAATTATTTCCGACAAAAAGCCATTAAAAAGTGAAAATACGTTGTCGGGCGATGCCAAAATAAAACGATTAAAGAGTCATAAAAAAATATTTTTATGCAAAATCGCTACCTTTGTGGGCACACTTCTTATTACTTTCAAAATGTTTCGGGAACGTTGCGTGAATCGTGAAGTATGGGCTTTTAAGTCTTATACACATACGTAATTTAGATTTAGTGGTAGTATTACTCGGTTACTTACCCTATATGGTGTTTAATATCTTAACCTAACAACATTTGAATTTTGCAATCATTCATTTTCATAAAGCAGCATGTTTCTTAAGGTGGAGAATGATGAACCTAGTACTTATCTTATCCTTTAAACGAGCAATTCTTGTATATATATATATATATATATATATATAATCGGAATCTCGGAAACGGCTCCAGCGATTTTCATGAAATTTAGTATGTGCATAGATTCGGGGGCGAAAAATCGATCTAGCTAGGTTTCATTTTTAGAAAATGTCCTTTTATCCCTGTTTTCAGGGAATGAAAAATATAATTCGAATATGACAGTAAATTTCGCCGCAAGAGAAAATGTCATAATAGCTCGGTCGGTAATCGGGCGGCCCCAAAACAGACGGCCGTGGTTCGCGTCACGATCATTTACACATTTATTTTTTTACTTTTTTTTGATTCCAGATCATTGCTTTCTTTACTTTTAATTTTTTGTCGATTTGTTATTTTGTTATTTTTTTCCCTTTTTTTTAAAGTTCCT